AGTTTCCACGTCAACTTCAAAGATAGCACCACGTACAGTGCATTGCAGTCTGATTGGTGAAACTCCGCTTTTACCTCAGGCTCACATTGAGGTAATAATGCTCCCAACTTCCTCCAAGCTGCCTCTGCGCTGTGATGCCTCTATTTCCCACACTCTCCCGCTCTCTCTTCTGACCTTCACTGCCCACAAGTCACCGCTCAGGTGGCACTCCCAAATGCCCTGGCTTCCTCTGAATCCTGGGAGATGAGAGGTGTAGTCTGGCTGCACTGTTTGGTTTCTCTCACCGCCTGAAGCTAGATTGCAGCCGGACAACAATTCTCATGATCCAGCGCTTCAGCCAGCCAGCCAATCGGCGATGGCTGCCACCCCCTCTCCCTCTTCCACCAATGACCGTCCTTCTCATGTAAAAAAAAAAAAAAAGACAGACAGGCAGCGGCTGCATAAACACCCGGCGGGCCATATAAATGTCCTCAGCAGGCCACATGTGGCCCTCGGTTCATAGTTTCAGGACCCCTGGTCTATGTGAACACTGGGGGAACTGTTCTAGGGAGACAACAAACTAGCAGAGGGGGGAAGCTCTGGATTTAGTAGGAGGCAGATTGGAAGGGGAGAAATCACATGTACTCCTCTTAAAGCCACCTCCCCACCAATTCACCCCCTCATATCTCCCCCAACACAACAGCATGAAACAAGTAATAGCAGAAAAGATGAGTCAGACATTCAGAAGTTGTGGGACTGCAAGTCTCCCACCTACCTGTAGCCTCCCCACCTTACAAATAAGCTACAAAAAAGTTGTCCTATTAAAACAAGCAGAAGATGCATAATTATGGAGACACTCATTACCCCCATTAGAAAGAAACCTAATTTGGTGGTGGACGAAAGTGGGAATTATAGGCCTGTTACCAATACTTCTTTCTTGAGTAAAATGGTCAAGAGGGTGGTGGCAGATCAGCTACAGGCCCTCCTGGGGGAAACTGTTGCCCTTGATCCATTCCAGTCAGCCTTCAGGCCGCGGCATGGTATGGAAACAGATTTGGTCACCCTGCAGGATGACCTCCTGAGGTAGACCGACAGGGGCAATATGTCCTTGTTGGTCCTCCTTGATATCTCAGCAGCCTTTGATACCATCAACCATGGTATCCTCCTGGGGCAGTTCTCCAAGTTGGGAATCGGTGGTCTCACTTTGGCATGGCTCCGTTCCTTTTTGGAGGACCATCCCCAGAGAGTGCAGCTTGGTGAGATGACTTCCACCCTATGGGTCCTCAATTATAGGGTTCTGGAGGGATCAATTATCTTACCAATGCTATTTAATATCTATACGAGGCTGCTGGGTGAGGTCATCCGGAGTTGTGGGGCCCGGTGTCATCAGTACGCTGATGACACCCAGCTCTATCTCTCCTTTTTTCCAACTGCAATGGATGCTGTTCCGACCCTTGAATGCTACTTGGGGACCATTCTGGAGTGGCAAATGAGGGCAAATGGACTGAGGTTGAATCCGGACAAGAAAGAAATCTTGCTCATGGGCGACCCTGGCTTCAGTGGATTGGGAAATTCCCTCTCCTTTTGAGGGAGTGGCTCTTCCCATGAAGAGTGAGGTTCGCAGTTTGGGCATGTGCCTGGACCTGGATCTCACCATGGAAACCCAGATGACATCTGTGGTCCGGGCAGCCCATTTCTATCTTCAGAGGATTGCCCAGCTGCGTCCCTATCTAGACATGGGGGCACTCATGACACTGATTCATGGCCTCATAATCTCAAGAATAGACTACTGCAGTGCTCTCTACATGGGGCTACCCTTGAGGCTGAGGTGGAGACTTCAACTGGTTCAGAATTCGGTGGCCAGATTAATAACTGGGTTGAAGAAACTTCACCACATCTCCCCCACTCTGGCTGCCCTTCATTGGCTACCAGTTCGTTTCTGCATTGACTTCAAGGTTATGATGATAACATTCAAAGCCCTGAACAGTTTAGGACCTCAGTACCTATTGGAACGCCTACTTCCAGCCAGATCTGTCCATAATACCCTTTCTTCACAGGCAGGGCGGTTGAGGGCCTTGACCCTGAAGGAGGCCCAAAGGGAAAGAAATAGAAACCGGTCCTTCTCAGTGGTCGCCCCCTGCCTATGGAACAACCTGCCCATTGAGATCAGCCTGGCACTCTCGTTGGATGGGTCCAAGCAAGCATTGAAGACCTGGCTCTTCTGCCGGGCTTTCCTGGAGCATTAAGGTCTTGGCCTCCCTTTTACCATTCTTTTTGCCATCCTCTCCATCACCCTTCTCACCACCTTCATTGCCATCTGTTTTAATTTACCTGATTTGGTTATGTATTAATTTATTTTTATCATGTTTTAATATTGTTGCTCATATTGTTGTTAGCCACCCAGAGTGGCCTGGTTGCCAGATGGTGTGGGGTATAAATAAGTAAGTAAGTAAGTAAGTAAGTAAGTAAATCAATCAATCAATCAATCAATCAATCAATCAATCAATCAATAAATAAATAGTTTAAAGGAAAAAAACATTTCAACTAACATAGGCACCCTTTGTTATGTGTATGGCAGCTTATTATTGGGGCAGACACCTAATAGTTTTGTAATCCAAAAACGCATGAAATAGGCCTCCAGATTAATCTGTGTGTGTTGTGTGGCTGAGGAATGAATACCATACCAGCTCTGAAACTCTTTCTAACTACTCCATTTCTTCATCAATGGGAAGATAAGACCTTACTTTTTTGCCAGAATCTGCTAACAGGGGCCAATACTCTTTCCTGTGTAGTAATATATTTTGAATATAATTGACAGTAGCAGGGCCAGCATTGCCAGACACATGGCAAAAAGCCACTTTAGGTCCTTTTAAGGAGAAAGGTGGGGTAAAAATATTTAAAATAAACAAATACAGTGGACCCTCGACTTACAGACGGCTCGACTTACAGATTTTTCGAGTTACAGACTTCTCTGGCCGCAAAATTTAGATTCGACTTGCAGCCGGAGAATCGACGTACAGACCAGAAAAAAACCAAAATGGAACAAAAATAGAATAAAAACTGGCAGTTATGGGATTAATTGGTTTTCAATGCATTGTAGGTCAATGGAGATTCAACCTACAGACATTACGACTTGCAGTCACTGTTCCAATACGGATTAATTCCGTAAGTAGAGGGTCCACTGTAAATAAGTGCTGTGGGTCTGCTGCCACATCTGGAGCCACCAGGCGCTCTAACTCATATGTTTGCTTTTCATATCATTTCACTTTCCCCCTCTATGCATCTTGTTCTCTCTCTTTCTCTCTGTGATTCTCAGTCTTCCTTTCTGTTGAAGGTAGTGCTGATTTGACCTATACCGAAAGTCAGATGAATGGGCAGTAGTAGCTGTCAGGAAAAAGAGGTGGGCAGATTTTGGAAATACAGTTTCTAGCATCATCTGGCTAATTAAAAGTGACAAAATGTTTGAAGCCCCAGTTGCTATTCTACAAAATGTTGCATTCCCACTGTAATGCAGCAGTAGCTCCGTGTGTCGACATAATTATTAACACACAATATAATTTAAATCCTATGATGTTATGCTACATGACTGCATATTGACCAGACAAAACATTGGTACCAAGAAGAGAGGTGAAATCTTTACCTGCTATCAGAATTTTCTCCTGCATGAAAGTAAACACTTCAGGAATTACCGGTAAACTTTAAAGGGCTGCCAGCAATGTTTTTATATTTTTGTAACTTTTATAATCGCCAAAATGTTAAAGGACACTTGGGAAATTTCTTAGATAAAAAAGAAAATCATGTGGCACTTTAAAGACTGACAAGTTCCTTTTAATTCAGAGGGGAGAGAAATAAGCTTTCTTGGACTGCAGGTCATATTATCAGATAGAACTCCATGAAAGCTTCTACCAAATGGAAATTGATAAGTTTTTAAGATGCCACAAGAATCTTTGTTGTTATTTCTGGTACAGACCAAGGCAAACACCCCACTTTAGGTATAGTAGTATTAGAACAAAATTCTTCTAAACTCTGTACATATATTAAATTAGTATCCTGAAACCTGTTGGCCCAGGAGGCATAATATAAATTTAACTTCTGATGTGTTTGAACTCTTGCATCACTTAAGAGGACATTTTGTACGCACATTTTAAATCCTGGAAATGTGGAGCTTGAAGAACTGATTTGTTTGTCATATATTATGGAAATGCCAGTCTGCTTAGAATTATTGGAAAGAAATAACAGATAAAGATTGAAATCATGTTGAGTAACTTCATGGGCCATAAGTAGTGATGACATCATCACCTGGTGACGTTAATCTGTGCTTTAAGTTAAACAATTTGTCCTCTTCTCTTCAGGTTCCAAGGTTACATCTTTGAAATGTTGTATTAAACTTTTATAGTTGCATTTTTTGGATAAAAGCAATTTTGTAACACATCCTTTGTTAGAAAATTGCTGAGGCTCCCAATGGCATCCACAGTGTTCCCAATGGCATCCACAATGCAAAAATAATCTCTAGTGAGCCTTAGAATCTAAGGGGGGAGTGCACCATTATGTTGTTATGTGCTGTCAAGTCAGAACCAACCTATATGACTATTTATATAGTGGAGTTGCACCCTCTGGAATTCAGGCAGTAGTTCACAAATTTTAGGACACCTACTATTAAGTATTATTTAGCATAGCTAGCCACTTGATATCTATAGTATTGATAATGGTTGACAGTGAACCTTTGCTAAAATTGTATAGACCTGATATTACAACCATCCTCAGAGTTCATTAATTCAAAAATGGTTGTTGATGTTTATATATGTTGAAATTGTGCTTTTGGTGTTCAGTAAGCAATAAATTAGCAAATCATTTTGCTTATTTTAGCTCCATATACTTCTATATACTTATTTTTGTAAAAAAATGTTGTGTATTTCATTGGTTCTGGAGTTTTTTTAATATTTAAATAAAATATGTCCCAAAAAGTTTCTGTTTCTTCATGTATTGATGGTGAGTTCATTTATTATCTTCTTGTGCAACAGAGCTCAATACCACAGATTTGAAAGACTGCGTCAGTGACCATAGCCTCAGCAGCAATGCCAGCCTCCCAAGTGTCCAGAGCTGCCGAAGGCATCGAGAAAGAAGAGTTGCAAGTTGGGCCGTTTCATTCGAACGACTTCTTCAGGATCCAATTGGGGTTAAATATTTCTCTGTAAGTAATGAGGGAAATGCAAAATATAGTTTTGATATTAATATTTACAAAACACCATCCAGCTAAAATTAGCCACAAAATCCTAATTATTACAGCTAGAGAATTAAGCCTGTTTCAGAATCTTCCCATTGAAGCTTGTGAGAATTTAAAAAGAGTCATAGTCTTGTGCTTTAAAATACATTTAAGAATACCGTATTTTTTGCACCATAAGACACACTTTTTCCCCTCCAAAATGTGGGTGGGGAAGTCAGTGCGTCTATGGTGTGAATGCAGCAATTTTGTCGCTGCTGGCTCAGTGGGGGGGGAGCGTAGCAAGGGTCCGGGTGAGCCTTCCAGGACCCACCCACATGAGTGCACGCCCGCTCCTTCGCGAGTGCAGGGGAGTGCCCCGGCTTCCCCAACCAGGCCACGGAGTTAAAAAGGTTGGGGACCATTGGTGTAAATGACACTTTCTTTAGTTGTGAATTAAAATATATTAGTGGGCACGTGCACAGTATCATTCAGAAAATATGTGAATATATATCTGCAGAACATTAGGTTCTAAATCTCCTTGATTGAGATCAGTTCGCCATACTTGAGAGGTGTGTCAGACTTCAAGAATGGATTTGGAGAGCAACAGTTCGAGAAGTGCTGTGGGAGGGAGAAGGAGAGAAAGCCCATAAAGTGAAGTCAGTGTTATCTTAGATGTAGGTTAGATTTTGCTAATTTTTTGGAAGTCTTGCACTTTACTTTTGTGTAGGTAGTACAAAGATAAAATTTGCACAACATGGTATCGTACAGGGATGTTCAACATGCAGTTTTTCAGATGGAGATGAAGGACAGTATACAGAATATTATTCCAAAAGTATACTTTGTCCATTTTCCATGAGAAAATGCTGCAGTCTTATTAGGATGACCTCTGAAGCATTTGTTCGAATTAACTTTCATATAGACATACCGTATTTTTTGCACCGTAAGACGCACTTTTTCCCCTCCAAAATGTGGGTGGGGAAGTTAGTGCGTCTAATGGTGTGAATGCAGCAATTTCGTCGCTGCTGGCCCCGTGGGGGGGAGCGTTGCAAGGGTCCGGCTTGGGAAGCCTCAGAAGAGCCCCAGAAGGTGGCAATTTTGCCCCCTCTGGCCCCCGAGGGAGGCAGGGTGAGGCTCCAAAGGGTCCTGGAACACACACTAGGACTCTTTGGAGACTCACCCTGCCTCCCCTGGGGGCCAGAGGGGATGAAATCACCATCTTTGGGGGCTCTTCTGAGGGTTGGGAAACTTCAGAAGAGCCCCAGAAAGTGGCGATTTCACCCCCTCTGGCCCCCGAGGGAGGCAGGGGGAGGCTCCAGAGGGTCCTGGAACACACCCTAGGACCCTAGGGGGTGTTCCATAAGATGGACCTCTCCATAAGGCTCACCAAATTTTAGGAGAAGAAAGCAGATAATTTTTTTCCTGTTTTCTTCTCCTAAAAATTTGGTTTGTCTTGTGGAAAGGTGCGTCTTATGGAGCGAAAAATACAGTAAATCAGTAGGAAACAGCTCATGGCTCAAGTGAACTCGGGGCGAGGAGGCTCATTCCACCACTGCAATGTGAGGTTCTTCCCTGCTTGGACTGTCCAGTCACTTGGTGACACAGATGAGAACAGGTATCTCTGATGCAACTTTGGGAGAAGAATGAGAATGATATGTCTATCTGTAGACATATAGAATTACGAGATACCTAGCTGAAGTTCTACAAACCGAGTAGCTCAAATCTAAGGCGAAGATTAAGAAGTTGTGAAATTTTGGGACTTTATATAACCTTACAATTAGCTTGGGAAAATGTGTCAGATGTTTCAGTTTAGATAGATATTCACAAACAAAACTGAAGTACAATACATTTTTACTGAAAATGTAGCATATCTAAGGGCTAGTAGAAGTCATGTGTGCAGTGCAATATTAAATCTTGATTTTCTGAGGCAAAACAAACATATTTGGGAGCATAATCAGTGAGACTCTAAATTCTTGTAATAAACAAATACGATGCTAAGTTACAAGAGTCAAAGGTATAGGAGGATGCCACCAAAGGTAGGCAAGGTTTCCCCCATTTTATACTACTGATGGTAGTCTGCTGTGATGTAAATCTATCCTGTTCTATATGCTAATGCAATTTACCATCTTAAAATATTTCTCTATTCTGCCCTGATGATCTTTAAAAAGTTTACCTAAACTTCTAAAAGAGCATTTGTCTCTGCTTAGGGTAGCTTCTGCAAACATGGTACTGTTGCCTCCTGCATATGTGAAGGAGAATGAATGGCTCTACACTGATGAAAATGTAGAGCCATGTAAGTGCTGGAAAGGAGTATTTCACTTAAAACTAACTTACTTAATAGCAAAAGGACAAATGGTGAGCAACATAAACCAAGAAAAGAAAATGCAGCCATCTGTCAGATCTGCTTTGATTTTCACTTTTGCATTGAACTGGGGGGTTGGATCTGATGGCCTTATAGGCCCCTTCCAACTCAATTATTTTATGCTTCTATGACAGTCTCACAGTCCAAATTATTGTAATTACTATTTAATTGCTATTTGGCCATCCTTCAATAATAGCTTACAATGTTTAATTTTAATCTCTTTTTGTCCATATAGGAGTTTCTACGGAAAGAATTTAGTGAAGAAAATATTTTATTTTGGCAGGCTTGTGAATATTTTAGCCACATATCAGCTCATGACAAAAGAGAGGTAAGACCTTATGGCCATGGGCTGCTTATATTTCACAATGTGCACGTGTACATCTGTTTATTTTTTTATTTAAAATATTGAATATTAATATAACATAAGTTACACTTAAAATTATGTAAGTAGTTTAATGCTTTCTAGTATGTTATTTTTGCATGCATTTGGTGGGTCGCAGAGTGTTCTTCCCAGATTGGACTAGATCTAATGATTCTCAGTTTAAAGCTCTTTTTCTGGGAGGTACATAGAAAACTGGCCAGAATATAGCATTAAACATATGAGATTTAATACAGGACTTTTCTCTACACCACATGATGAGCTACATATTCTGCAAAATGACATTGCCTTTCTTTGTCTCTCATGCTGCTGTATTTCAGCAAACTTCAGGCAGCAAGTAGAAGAGAAAAATCAAAAAACATGTCCACCAACTTTATCCTTTTTTAGCATATTAAAATTAGGAATTGTGTGAATATACTGGAAATAACTGTTTGGATAGCTCATTGAGTTAAGTGTTTGGCTCTCTGGAGCCAGATATTGGGAGTTCCATTCTCCATTGTGCATCCCAGGAGAAAAGCCAGCCTTGTGTTGCCTTGGGCAAGCTGTTCCGTCCCAGGTTGCCCCCAGAAGAAGGGAATGATAAAGCACTTCTGAGTACTCCCTACATGGAAAAGCTGGGGGAAAATTACTTAATAGCACATGATGGTGGTGGTGATGATGATATACAAAAATGCACAGAAGACAGTGGTGTCTGGGAGGGGAAAGCAGGCTCTGCATTTACTGTCATTCTGTTCACACTAGGATTTACATGGAGTGCACAGTGGGACTGATCTCACCAGCTTCTCTTCTAAGATACCTACTCTGAGTAGAAAATCAGTGTCTGGGGTTTGTGTGGATTTCTGTTCCAATACCTGTAACTGGGGGATACTCCCACCCTTGCCAGTATTTAACTGAGAGGTAAAATGTCCAGAGTGGGGTGGGGTGTAAAAAAGTAGCTATCAGGAGCAGTTCCACTGTATTCTCTACACAGTGTATGGAGGAGGCATCTGTGAAGCAGAACTGAGTGGATGAATGATGCGTGTGCTTGCCTCTTACACACATCTGATCCATTGCCCTCTCTACACTCCAGTGCATTCACGTAATTCCTAAAAGAAAGCTGTCTTATGTTCTTAGTCAGTGTTCTGGACTAAAGCAGGGGCTCCCCTGGAAAAACTGGAAGATGTTTGCTTTTGTCCTCCAGAACTGGTAGGCTTTTCTGCAGGAAAAAATTCAGTTCTGTGGTTTGCTGTTATTTGTCTGAAGAGTCCCTTAGGCTCTGGGAAGCTCTCAGATTTGGCACAAGTATTAGATCTTTCCTGGGGCTCTTCTTCATGGAACCTACTGTAGACTAGATAAACTGTCTTTACAGAAAGTTTTCCGGAAAGGAAATGCCAGAAACTGTCCTTTTAAAATCTGTGTTGGCAACTTATTTATAAAATACACCACATGTGGTTAAAGAATTGTGATTTAATGATTTCTGATCTTTATCGACTGTAGAAATATCAGCTACAGATTTTAGCATGTTAGACAACTTTTCTAGATAATTTATTACTGACTAAAACGAACAGACAAACAAATCTGTGCTAAAAGAAAAAGAAGCTACCACACAACAGAAACAGGGGAATTATATTTTGCTTTTGATGTTAGATGAAATCTCTGAGTTCAACAGTGATTATTAATCTTTTTAAGTACTGTATATGGAACTTTTCCCTTGCATAGGATACTGACTTCATAATAATAGCAATAAATACCAGATACTTGCCACGACCTCTCTGTGCCATATGATTTCATCATCAGAAACTGAGATGTAGCTCTGCCATAACACAAGTCTTCCAAAATCCTGGGCTTACAGAAGCCTCCTTTCCACTGGGCATCTCTTTTCACTTGTTCTGTCACAAACTCTTGCCAGCTTCTGATAAGATCTGTTTGTAACATGTTTCTGAGTCCCAATAGAGTGTGATTGTAAATAGCATGACGGAATTTAGTACCTGTTGGCTGGGTGCCAACTCCAACAACAGATGTGGCATTTGCCTCTCTAGAAGTTTGGAGTCAGCGTTAGGATATTGAAACTCCAAGAACACTCTGTTAGTGAAAACAAACCTTGGAGCCCAAAATAACAAGTTAAACAGAGTCTCTTATCAAATCCTCCCTTTTAATGAACAGAATAAAGACACAGAGAGTTTAGGAAAAATACCAAGAGAGTTTGATAACAATTTATGGCATAATCTATTCAGACTTCATATATCAGCATAGACGATACATATATACATGACATTACAGTGGGGTCTCGACCTATGGAATTAATCCGTATAGGAATGGAGTCCGTAGGTTGAAAGGTACACAGGTCAAAAATGCATTCCTCATAGGAATGCATTGAAAACCATTTAATCCGTAACCCACCCAATAACCCCCCCACGCACAAAATTAAAATAAAATTTTAAAAACAAAACCTTACCTTTCTGAAGCCTTCCAGGGGTCCCCTGCCTCTGCCATTGCCGCTGCTGGAGAACTCCAAGGATTTCAGCGCCGCCCCACTGCTGCCATCGTCGCTGCTGGAGGACTCCGAGGGCTTTGGCGTGGCTGCCAGAGGCCTCTCGGAGCTCCCCCGCCGCCGCCGACGCAGGCTTTCACAGGGGAGGGCTTCCCCCGGTAGGTCCGGTCTACTGTCCGGGTCTTAATCCCTCATTTTAGCATAAAAGAAAAGGTAAAAGGAGCCTTTTACATAACACAATCTCCATTTTTCTACTTTCCCAATCTCCTCCCTTCTTCCTGGTCCATCAAGATGTCAACCAATTAGAATTTAGGGGCTGTAACACCTTTCTCCACCCCATTTTCCCATTAAACAGTCCAGGTGTTGTTTTTCTTCTCCAATTAGCCTGGAATATTGAGTCTTCCATGGCCACCTCCTTATCTTGTCCAAGTCCGTAACTCAGTGCAGGAAAACATTCTCACAGCTTCTTCAGAAAAACACATTCCAAAGTCCTTCAAAGCATTGTTACAAAGAACCATTCTGACTCCATGTTACATTTCTCTTGACTATATAACCCATTCACATGACATGCTTTTAACCACATTTCTCATGATCATGACACCATCTCTCTTTGAGTGTCCATTTGGTCATCAATATTATTTACAGTAACTCCAGAGTCTCAATAACATCCCCATACACATTATCCAAAATCTTAATAAAGTCTTAAGTCTCGTCTACAATCCTAATGATTACCCAATTATTCCAAAAAGTAATTGCACACTTTATCAGTTAAACAATCTGTTAAGAACTTTAGATCTTTTTTAAAAAAATTAACAAGAAAAAAAGAATATAACAAAGATTATAAAGAAAAATTATGTAACTAACAGTATACATCCATTTAAACAATACAATAAAACACAATATGTTCCCCTCTCACCAGGACCATTCGCAGATATAATCAATTTTCTTCCCCATGCAGAGTCCCCTACCCCTTCCAGAATGGCATTGATTCTTGTGAAGATACACCTTTCCATTTGTTAATGATATTTCTCCCAGATACCTATAAAATTATTCTTATTTAACAAACCTTTTTGACTTTAAAATTATCATGAATGGCTGTATTCCAAGTTTCTTTATACCGTATGTTTCTTTTAATTGGAAATCATAGTTTATTCTCCAACTCTTTGCTATTATTAATCTTGCTGCTGCTAATAAAATTGATGTTAATTTTTTTGTAATTTATTTCCATTTTTCCTTATCAAATATTGATTAAAATGCAATTTTAGGACGTAACTCTATAATTAATTTAATTATTTCATTTATTTCTTAAAAACTAACTTCCAAAAGTTTGATTCCCTCCACATATGAAAATAAGTACCAAATTTCTGACAACCTTACCAACACCTTAGAAAAAGTATTATCTATTTCATTTTATTGAAATAAAATGTCATAACGAAATTAATTTATTAAAAAAATCCTTTATCCCTATAGAAATAGACTTCAGTATTTTTATATCCTATACCTTTTGCACACCTCAGTATTATTTCCTCTCCCCATCATACTCCCTCATTGATCTAAGAAAATCTTAAGTGTCTAATATTTTATAAATTTTGCTTGTTTTCCCTTTCATTATCTTATATTCATCTATTTCTTCCTTCTGCTATACTATTTCTTCAAATTTCCTAAGCTTCCTACATTTGCTACATCTTTTAACTCAATGTTTAAACAACTGCTCTAACTGAATAAGTTTAAACCAAGACATTCTCTCCATACCTAACACCTATTTAATTTGTTCTCTCCTATCTTTTCTATCCAATCTTTTGCCCTAATAGCTTGTTTCATCTTCAGTACTTCCTCTAAATTCTGCTTCAAGTTTTCTGGAAATTCTTCCAGTTACATCACTGGGTGTAATGGGAAAATTGACAGGAATGAATATATCCCTGTATTTGTTCCAAATTAAAAACATATTTTTTAGAAAAGAATTAACAATTTTTAGTGTATTAGTATTATGTTGTCTAAATAAGATATTCTCAAGTTGCCAACTAACTATCTGTAGATCCATATCTAACCATATTAAATCATTGAACTGAGACAGTGTATCAATTGTGTGTCTCAATTGCTTAGCGATATATTATAAATTTTTAATTTTTTGGAGATTTATACCACTTCTTCTTATTTATTTATCCTTGCTCTTTTACCTCCATTACAAAAATTTTAATCATATTGTGCAAGTCTTTCGACTCTTCTTCAGTTATCTTTATCATTAACATCTTAAATAAAAAATTAATGTTAGATAAAATCTTCGTTATACATACTGCTATTCTACCAGACTATGAAAACCCAATCTTCCTAGGATCATATAATTTATTTTAATGTCTTTTTATACTTTATAATTTACTACTTTCAAATGTTCTGAACTCTTTCTAATGTTTATACCTAAGTATTTAATAACTTTTTGAATATTCATGTCAAATTTTCTCCTATCAACTCTTTTTTCTCTTTACCATAATTAAACATCATATCTGATTTACTCCAGTTTATCTGTAACCCCATTCGTATCTCTCCTAATTCTTTCAAATATAGTTTTATCATATCCACAACCATTAATGGATTTCTATTCCTAATAAAACATCATCAACAAATCGACTAATCTTTACTCTGTCTTTACAATCTACAACACAAATTAACCTACCTTCTCTAATAACATTTGCAAACCATTCTGTGACCAAAACAAACAAAATCCAGAAAAGAGGACATTCTTGTCTAGTACCATGGCCTTAGGATATCTGCTTTGTTACTCCATCATTTACTAACACTGTTGCAATATTTGCAATAGTTATTTATTTATTTTATTTATACCCCACCCATCTGGTCTTGCGACCACTCTAGGCGGCTTCCAGATGCATAAATAAAACTTACAAATATACACAAAAATTATAACATCAGCTAATAAATTAATAAATTATTCAAGATGGCAAGAGAAACGAAAGAAGAGGTAATCAAGGATTAACTGGAGGGAAGGCCTGTACGAACATCCATGTTTTTAGTTGGTTTTTGAAGATACCAGAAAACTCTTATGGTCAAATCTGACATTTGTCTCCCTATCATAAAACCAATTTGATCTATTTTTATATACAGTGGTGCCTCGCTTAACGAGCGCACCGTACAACGACGAAATCGCATAGCGATCCCTTTTTTGGGGTCGTTAATGCGAACGCTCAACGTTGTTTAGATAGGGCGAAACTCGCTTTGAGAAGATCGGCAAGCGTTTCGCTTACCAATCTTCGCAAAACGAAGCCCGACGATCAGCTGTTCGGCAGACAAAATGGCCGCCGGAAGCCCCGAAATGGCCCCGCGCGCAGCATTTTCGCACCCTCGTTAAACGAGGGGAGGCCGTGAAAATGGCTGCCGGCCATCCCGGAACATCGCTGAACGGTGAGTTTTCAGCCCATTTGGAACGCATTAAACATCGTTCCAATGGGTTTTCTTGATCCGTTCAGCGATGTTTCGCTATAGCGAAGGTTAATCCGGAACGGATTAACCTCGCTATGCAAGGCACCACTGCATTTAGTAATTCAGGTATTCATTCTCTTTGCTAATATTGCTGTAAATAATTTTGCATCTTAATAAAGAAATAGGCCAGGATCAGTTGGGTAAATAATAAATGCTTCCAAAATAGTGGAATTTCTTCCCCTTCCATTCTCAAAAAGGGACTAGTTTAGGTAGCAACATCTTGAAATTCTTAGAATACTCGAATCCCAACCCATCAATTCCTGGAATTTTCCCTACTTTTAATTTATTAATCACTTCCTCTATCTCTTCTTCTCTAATTAAGTTTTCCATCAAATATCTGTCTCTTCAAGTTTAATCCCCTATGTTTTCTCAGTATATTCTGCAATCTTCTCCAGAGAAAGTTTTCCCCCTGTATGTCATTTCTGAAAATAATTCTAGAATAATCCAATTTTAACTTACACTTTCCCCCATCATGTCCTTAATTATTTCAGTCATACTCTTCACTTCGTAGTGGCTCTAGCCAACGTTCTCAATTTTTTATTAATAAACTTGAAAAATCATCTTTTCAAATATATTCATTTCCTGTGAAATTTTTCCATTTGAATAGCCTCTTATTTAAAACAGAAAAGCATTGTAGATTGAACATACAGCATTTACACTTTTAACAGACTATCATGTTAGGCCCTGCATTCTAAACAATTTTGCATGTTATTTTGTTTGCATGTGAATAATAGGACATGCTTTGCAGCTTTCTTTCAGAGCCCGAGAGATCTTCAGTAAATTTTTATGTAGCAAAGCTACAACCCCAGTTAATATTGATAGCCAGGCACAACTGGCAGATGATGTTCTCAATGCACCACATCCAGATATGTTCAAAGATCAACAGCTTCAGG